TTCCCGGGCCCATCAGGAAAAGGCCGTTGGGTGGGAGTACCAAAGACCGTGGCTGGACGAACCATATGGAATTGCTCACCGCATGGCAGTGGGAAAAGCTGGTCATAAAAGCAGGGGCTCCCTGCGGTGGAGTGGGAAGGACACCCTCTCCCTGATGCTGATGCAGAGCCAGGATGTCGGGTTGTTAGGGTCGGGGACCTGGCACAACCTTGACAGAAGTAGGCAGCTGCAACCCAGAGCCACCCATGGGGCCCCACAGTTGGGCGCCATCATCTGCCCAGAGGTGACCCTGCTACAGCTGCCCAGTGTGCCTACAGTGCCCACAGGTCCCAGCAGGTCACTCTGAGGCCGCCCTGCAAGAGTCTGAAGTCCAGATGGATCAGACTTCCCATCCATTTCCCTCGTGGGACCCTGGCCCTCGGCCTTTGGTGGAACCAGCATGGGTGTAGGGGATGCTATCATCGGGGGTGACTCTCGCAGGAAATCATCAGTGCCTCCCCGGGCGCGGGGCAACACCAACTCAGTCATAGCTCTGTCTGTTCCTGTTTAGACAGAGAGAGGGCTTTGAGGAGGGACAAGCTTCCGTTCAAAGGATGAAAACGGACACTTACAAGTAAGGGCCAGTGCAAGCAAATCAACAGGTGCTGCAGGGAGATCATATAAACCAGGATGAAAAAGGTGACGATGCAGGTCTCCAGGACGGTGATGGCGATGAAGGACTCGTGGGCTTCCACTTGGATGAAGCAGCCTAACGCTCCCACGATCAGACCCTGCAGAGAAAGAAACGGGCTAGTGTGCCTATTCCAGGCAATTCAGTGTCTCCAGAGACCAGTGGCCAGAACACGAAGCTGGCTCTGTGGCAAGACGGCCTGTGGGGTTTGGCATACACGCCACGTTTGGGAGGTTTCTTTTTCCTATTATCTTTTATTTATTTATATAAATCGTGTTATTGGGGGCTCATCAACTCTTATCACAATCCACACATCCCTCTATTGTGTCAAACACATTTGTACGTTGGTTGCCATCATTCTCAAAACAGTTGCTTTCTACTTCAGCCCTTAGTATCAGCTCATTTCCCCCCTCCCCCCTCACGAACCCTTGATAATTTATAAATTATGATGTTTTCATGTCTTACACTGTTCGATGTCTCCCTTCACCCACTTTTCTGTTGCCCGTCCCCCAGGGAGGGGGTTATAGGCAGATCCTTGTGATGGTTCCCTCTCTCCCCCGCACCTTCCCCTTCCCCTCCTGGTATCGCTGCTCTCATTATTGGTTCTGGGGGGTTTATCTGTCCTGGATTCCCTGTGTTTCCAGCTCTTATCTGTACCAGTGTACAACCTCTGGTCTAGCAAGATTTGTAAGGTAGAATTGGAATCATGACAGGGTGGGGTCGAGGGGGGAGAAAGTATTAGAGAACTAGAGGAACATTGTATGTTTCATCGGTGCTATACTGCACCCTGACTGGCTAGTCTCCTCCCCTTGACCCTTCTGTAAGGGCTGTCCAGTTGGGAGGTTTCTTATATATATTTTTACAAATGAAAGAATGCATGCATGCTGTCTTAATGGACACAGTACGGAAAGGTGAAACCTATCATTTCCTTTCTCCTCCTGCACCAGCGACCTGGGATTCTATTTCCTGCCAGAAGGAAACATGCATATTGTCAGCATGCTTATCTGCACAGACAAGGGGGCTTCAAATTTTTTCCCCATTAGCTTTTAAATGCCTTCTACCGTAGACATTTTGAAGCCCCATTCAGACGTGTGCATATGAATTATAAATGTGTGGGTAGGTCAAAGACTTGCCAAAGACACTGGGGTTAGCCACTTCAATTAGTAGCATGCTAATTAATAAACAACCCAAACGTGGATCCAAAACCCCACTCTCTAAATTGACATGGACTTCCAACACTCGGCCAGGCCCTGAGGACAGACTCAATTAGAAGGAACAGAGAACCCAGGTGGCTCAGTGGGTTGCGTAATCAGGTTGTTCACCGCAAGGTCCACAAGGTCAGCAGTTTGAAACCACCAAGCCACTCCCTGGAGAAAGATGAGGCGTCCGACCCTTGTAAAGGATTTACCTTCTCAGAAACCCACCCGGGGCAGTTCTAGGAGTCGGCGTCACTATGAGTTAGAATCGAGTAGATAGATGGTCGTGAGTGGTGAGTTTGATGAAAGGCAGGGACAGCGGGCAGGAGGGAAATTTCCCCGAGCGGGCAGCACACCTTGGGCCTCCGCCTGAGGCAGAGGCTGGCCTGTATCCCCCAGCTCCCTGCTCACCAGCCGCAGGATCTTCAATAGTCCAGTTGGTGAGAAGAAAAACTTCTTGATGCTGTCCCTGAATCTTTCCGGGACTTTGGCCCGGCCCTGGGCGCGATTTTGGATTGCTTTCTTCGCCCCTGAGGACAAGGACTGCTGGGGCGGAGGTTGCCCCTGCCTGGGAGCCGCATCCGCAGGCCCGGTGGGCTCCGAAGCTTGCGGCGGGATGAGCGGTGCGGTGACCTTGTCTTGCTTGATTGTGGCGGGCCTAGTGCTCTTTGAGCTCTTGGCGGGCGCCGCCGGGCCCTGCCGCTGGGAGGGCGTGGGTTTGAAGCCCTTTGCTAATGCCCGATGTTTGGGATCTCCAGTGGCCATGGTGGGTGTCCCGCCTGGGGCGTCAGGCTGGGCCTCTGAGAACGAGCAGCGCGCCTCAACGGCTGCCGCCTGCCCCTCTCGCGTGCACCCCCGCGGGAAAGCTCTACTGACCACGTTCCGGCCATCGGGAACGCCGTGCCTCGCTGCCTAGCCAGGCGACACTACAACCACACTGGCCTCCTGCTGCCCCCCAGCCAGGCCTGGAACCCTGCCAATTGATCAATCGGCGTGTAGGCCCAGGGGGTCTGGCCAATCTCCTCAACTCCCATGTTAATATAAAATGGGGTGAAGGAAGAAGACATTTTTTAAAATCAATTTATTGGGGGCTTGTACAATTCTTATCACAATCCATATATACATCCATTTGTACATGTGTTGCCATCATTGACAAAACATTTGCTTTCTACTTGAGCCCTTGGTATCACCTCATTTTTTTCTCCTCCCTCCCCCACTCTCCCTCCCTCATGAACCCTTGATAATTTATAAATTATTTTATCATGTCTTACACTGTCTGACATCTCCCTTCACCCACTTTTTTGTTGTCCCTGTCCCAGGGAGAGGGTTATAGGTAGATCATTGTAATTGGTT